CTAAGTGGCTCAACACCTTCTATTTTGGGGCAAATTCTTAAATGTATTTCCTTCCTTCTGTGATAAGGATCTCTTCGTTATACAAGAGCTGATTATCTTCACGTTCTTGAATTTTAATCATTGGCCTGAGCGAACCACCAGCGCATCCTCCTTACACGGTTGCAATGGTCCTGCTTTTGGCTACGGATCATGTCCCGATGTGGAATCCTGCCCTCTACCACCTGTGATGGGGCAGACGCTGCGGCCCTGGAGACGAACTACCCCTGTTCAGCTCAACCTTAGCACTTAAGTCCAGCCTTAACAAACCCAAAGCTGACTGCCAATCTTGCTAAAAAAACTACCTGATGGAAAAAAAATCCCTTTTGAGTCAATTGCTGGAGTTTTTTCCCCGTTTTGACACCTGTTAATGTCCTAGTTATAGAGCTCCAGCAGCAGCCCTTACATAACTGTTGAGATGGAGGAATATTTTTTCCCCCTCCTTTCATTTCCTCCAACCAGGTTTGTTTTCTTACCTCCCAATTCTATTTCAGAGTTTTCAGGAGGCATTCCTTCATTTTCCCTGCACCATTCAATGCCCTAGACTCTTTCCATAAAGCATGCTATCTCCTTTTTAATCCCGTTTTTATAAGTAAATTGACACCTGCGGCTTGGAGTCTGCTGATCTGACTGTGCAAAAAGATATTTTTTGCACTCTTCGCAAGCAACAGCATGTGGCAGAATTTAGAAATGAGGCATCCTGAAGCTGGAAAGTCATTGCAGGTGCAGCTCCAAGGCAGTAACCCCAGGGAAGGGGTATGTGTTTGTGAGAGGAGTATGTTTATTTAGTCCTGCTCCTGCCATTTCTGCTAGCTACAGCCAAATCTCTTTCCGGTAGCTGTGTTGGCAAAAGAGCTTGACCTGTTTCCATTTCCAGAGTTGCCTTTTAAGCGTGAGGTTAGCAGTTTCACTTCCCTCATCTTCTTTGCTCCCAAAGGATCTAGGAATCATTTTTTTCTGCTGCAGTTTGCTTTGGCTACTGCTGAGCCTCATAGCTGGCCCTGGAGAGGGACGATATGGGGGTCATTCTTCTTTTCCTTTCTGCTTACAGGTGTCTGAGCAGATGGTGGGACAGCCCAGACCCTTGGCCTCTTCCTTTCTTCTAGCAGCATGGTCATGATAAGAAAAAGCATAGTTTCAGGCAGGCTTTCCAAACAACTTTATATTCAACTCATTCATTATTTATTTTTAGGAAATGAATTCAGCTAATTAGACATTTTTTCCCCTCTTGTTTTAAAAATAAAAACAAAAGGCCAGCTGGCTAGCTTACTAACTGGACTAGCAGGTATTCCCCTCTTGTTTAACCTAGCCAGTGAGATGATGCTAGCAATTTTTTTTCCTGCAGTCATGAAAGGCAGGATAATCGAATGGAAAGAAAACACTTTTGTTCTTTGAAACTTGTCTTTGTGCTGCTCTGTTTGAAGCGCCTCTCGCCTTATGTTTGTGCTGCGTGTGATTCAGTGCAACCACTTGGTACCTTGCGGTTTAATTTTCTTCTTCTATAATTTTATTATAGAGCTATTAAAAAGTGGTAGAGAAATCCAGTGGGCTTGAGCGTAGCTGTTGACACATGCTGTGGTTCTGGGCATGCTGGTAGCATTTAATCTGCTCTATAACTTCAAGTAATCTGCTGGTGCTAAGGGATTTTTGTGTTGGTTTATTTTTTTCTTCAAGCTTTCCATAGATTTCTGTAGCTGTCAAGGAACCAGAGTTGGAATTTAATAAACTTTGATGCTTATGTTAGTCAGAATAGGAACAACATTTTATGAACTAGCAGGTGCAGTTCATCTTTGTCCTCCCTGTAAGGGGGACATTTTGAGTGGGAGTCTTGTTGGATGCCATTCAGGACCATTACACTTTCCTCCTCTGAAATGAAGGGTTTCTTTAAGTTTTCTTAATGAACATCTCTGCCCTCTCCTCTTTCTCGCTCCAGATCTATTCTGTATTCAAAGTCTTGGAGAGGCAGGAAACATGTCTCGTGCATCAGTTGCTGTGCTGCGTCACGTTGGGAAACTGAGGAATAGATATTTGTGCTGCCTTTTTGCTTACTCTCCTTCTGTTCTAATAGTATCTCTTGCAGGAGAGGTATTCAGTTAGGAATCTGTGCTAATAAAGTCAATCTGGGCCATCCAAGCAGCTCCCTCTGAATCACTTGAAAAGGGTGAATTTCACAGGGTATTAACAGGTCAGTGCTTAACGATAGCCATCAGATAGCTTAGTTCTAAATTAGGAGTTTCTTTAATTACGTCCCAGTCGTGATGTTTCAATTTAGTTCTGTTTGTGGAGCTTCTTATTCTCTGAAAGTTTTCTTGTTCTCATTTCTGCCCTCAGGACCAAGGAAAAGGAGTCTCCCTGTGAATGCACCTTCCCATCTGTCGTCGTTTAACCCCAGCCAGCAACTCAGCACCACGCAGCCGCTCGCTCACTCCCCCTGCCCCTGGGGTGGGGGAGAGAATCGGAATAGTAAGAGTGAGAAAACTCCTGGGTTGAGATAAGAACAGTTTAATAATGGAAATAAAGTAAAATAGTAGTAGTAGTAGTAATAACAATATGATAATAATAATATACAAAGCAAGTGATGCACAATGCAATTGCTCATCACCTGCTGACCGATACCCAGCCAGTCCCCAAGCAGCAATTGCTGCTCCCTGGCCAGCTCCCCCCAGTTTCTATACTGAGCATGACGCCATATGGTATGGAATAGCCCTTTGGTCAGTTGGGATCAACTATTCTGGCTGTGCCCCCTCCCAGTTTCTTGTGCACCTGGCAGAGCATGGGAAGCTGAAGAGTCCTTGACTTTTAGTCAAGAGTACTTAGCAGTACTTAGCAACAACTAAACCATCAGTGTGTTATCATCATTACTCTCATCCTAAATCCAAAACCCAGCACTATGCCAGCTACTAGGAAGAAAATTAACTCTATCCCAGCCAAAACTGGGACACCATCCTTCCTTCCTGCTTCGCTTTGGAGTCCTAAACTGGGAAAGCAACTGCTTTCCAAATTATATCTGTCCACTTTAAAGCCATTTTCTAGAACTAGAGTTATGACCTCTTTCCCACAGATCTGTCTTGACTTGGTATATCTTATTGCTACTTTCCATGTCCGGCGTCAAAGAATTCACAGCGGGGCCCGCTGACTTGCAGCTTTTTGTAGTGATGGTGCCTTGCCGTGCTTCATTTAGTGTTGGGCGCTTCTTTAATCTGTGGCAGGTTCAGCTCTTGGGGAGGTGGGATTTGCTAACTAGAGGAGGAAGTTAGCAAACCCTTGGGTGTTTCCACCTTCCTGCACCGTCTAAAGTTTGAGCTTGTGTAATAGGCTCGTTGTGCACCTCTTAACGCTGGAGCAAAACCAGATCCAAAACTTACATGAATAATTTCAGTAGGAAATGTGACTCATCTGATAAAACATAATTAAATGGTAATGCAGTGCTTTATTGCAGGTGCAAGTCATAGAGCTTGTCTGCTAAAGAAACTAATTTGATTTAACTCTTCAGTAGATCCAGCTTTTACAGGTCGCTTCTTTAAAAAGACAGAACTAGAGGAATCTTTTTCTAAGACTTTCTTCTAAAGTGAATTAAGGTCACTTCAATTCTGACTAGAAGAGTTTGGTGACAATTTAACTCAGTTTAACATTGTACCATTGAGTTCATTGATACATTTGGGAGTGTGCTTGCATAGGTGACTCGGAAGATGTGTTTGATAATTTTTTTTTTCCTGTTTTGTGGGTAGATATGTCATCTTCTCTGGGCCTCTGTGAGTGGGAGGATCTAGTCCATTGAGACGAAGGAGTTAGCGAAGAGCAAAGCTTAAAAACAGCAGGCTGGAAATGTGAAGCCTTTGGAGAGAAGTCAGTTCTTACATGTGGAGCATGGCGTTGAGCAAACGCAGCTGGGGTCTGCTTGAATAGAGCGGAAAATCTGTTATTCTCGAGCAGAGCGAAATGAAATTGCTTGTGTTTGTAGCTACAGAGGTTGGCCCTGAGCTTTTGGAAACCTTGCTCTGGTTGGCATTTCCAGCCCTCCTTTCTCTGGGAGTCACTGCTGTGTAGCAGGCACAACACGAGGAAGCATTTTGGCCGCTCTCATCCCTGGTTTGATGTTCAACTTAACACTGAGAACAGTGGATTTCCCCTGAGCAGCTGAGTTGTGAATGCATGACCAGGGACAGGCATCGTTTCTCCTCTGCCATGAGGATTCCTAGCTTCTGACAAAGGACAGCTACTGAGTGAGTGTTTAATAGAAAAATTTGTTTCTGTAGTGCGCAGAGCCCTTTGAGTTGTTGGTGAGAGTAGTGGGAACGGGCAGGGAACTAGCGGCAGATGTGGTTTGCAGCAGGAACGGCTGCATGGAAATGGTGATCCTTTCAGACCGTCTTGGATGGGTACTTGCAAATACCTGTTTGACACCAGCTCTGGCTTCTGATGCCCTTTCTGTGTCTTGGAACTATCTTGAAAAAATTTCTTTTGAAGATAGGACATGGCTTTCTAGGTAAATGGGAAGAGGTGAAACCTGCTGGGCTGTGTATGGGCTTAACGTACCCATCTTGCTGTCTCGAGGTCCTGCGTGCATCAAGCATTGATCCCTTTCTGTTGAAACTCAACTGTTCTGGGGCTTTATAGCAAAGTCGGGCATCTTCTCTTTTTAATTTTGAGTTGAATGACAGAGAAGGCCTCCTTGGTTTTGTTTTTTAATTTATTTTCTTTGAATTGTGCCTCTTACTCTTTAGCCTGTTTGCTTTATATAAAGCTCAGCTTTCTTCTCCCCTCTTCCCTCTGGAAAATTCTCATGGCAAGTGTTATAACTAGAGGGAAATAGGATCTACAGTTAATGTAATATTTGAATTCCTTATTCCCTAACACCTTTTCAATTCAATGGGGATAGAACTAAATCCTCACTCCCCTGCAAAGGGTGTGCATCAGTGCTCCCAGTCTTCCCTGGAATTAAGCTTCCATTTCAGTTCTTTCAGGTCTTCTTTTTGGAGACCTCCAGGGCAAACACAGAAGAAGAAACAAGTAGGATGAGCTCCCTTTGGCCAAGCACAGACACATAAGCCCTTCGCCAGGATTTTCTATATAGGCTGCAGAGAGGCATGGGCACTTTTCAAGCACGGTTTTGTTTGCAGATATCCAAGATCAGATGAATTGCCCTCTTGAAGCATCGTAAGAGTCTGAACAATTGATTGTAAATACCTTTATTGCCAATGTGTTCACTTCAGAAAAGCAAATCCATCTCTTTGGATGGTTTCAGAGTTTAAAATAAAAAGCCAAAAGGGACAGATGTTTCTCTAAACCTCTGAAGCATGTAATATTTATTTAACAGTTTAGTCCAGCACTGAGGCCACTAATGGCTGCTGCTATTAGGAGATGTAATATCCACCCCTCCTGTGTGCGAATGTCTACGCCACGCTGGGTGCCCAATGGCCCTGTGCTGTCTCAGTAGCCAGCAGATTTTTCCGTTAATTCCTTAACTTTCTTCCCCTCCTTTTCAGCCAGTGCTTATTAGTTTCCTAAGTGGGGATTGCTGCAAGACGCAATTACTGGAAACAACCCAAATCTGTCAAAACTTAGCCACAAGGAGTTTGTCTGAACCCTGTAGAGCAGCTTAATTTTGGACAAGAGTTGGAGCTTAAAGCGGCAGCAAATGGGGAACATGATTAAGCACAGCTGCTTGTGCTGAGTTAAAATTCATTATTCAGTCCGGACAAATCATTTATTTCACCTTTCCTGTAGGAAAGATGCTTGATGCCTCATTTGTTTTTGCTCCCTGTGTCTGATTCACTGCTGATAATTGTAACAGGCTCTAAGAAGAAAACACGATGGGTCCTAATTAGATGCTTCACTGGATCCTGTTCCATCCTAAAAGTCTGTAAAAGAGCTGGGAGAGCAGGTGGGTGGTGAAGATCACTGGTTTGGTGAGGGGTCTTCAGGGATCTTCTTTTGATGATTTTTTTTTTTTTTTTTTGGTTTGCTCCTTATTGTCAAGTGAATCAAAGCAGGCCTGTCTTGAGGTGCAACAAGCAGAGGATGTGCTCGAGGGAGTGATGGTTACATGTTGAAATTGTACATTTTAGGGGACTATTATGTGTTCTCCTTCTCAAGATGAAGCTTAGACTCACCAAAACACTGTTGTATTGCATAGAAAAAATGATTTTTGAAACCTTCCTGGTTCAGTCAGCTTGGTATGTTCTACATGTGTCTCACAACCAGCTCCTTTGTTCAGGGACCTGATCGTTTTCTATTATTTTCATCTTTCTCATTCGTTACGTGGTCCTGTGTCTTGTTGGAGAAAAATATTCACGTCTGGCATGGTGCTTGGCTCTTGCTGTGCATCGAATTTGAGCAAGCTCAGAATTACTTTTTGATCACTTGTCAGCTCAGGCTTCAGTTGCTGTTGTCCAACAAGAATATGGCTGTTTAGATTTTCCTGGACTGAATTGGTCTTTTTGTCTATTCCAGTTGAGGTCTGAGCTTGAATTGTGCTCCCTGCTTTTATTTCCATTGGCTTTTAGGGAAGAGGGTGGGTAGGCAGAGGGCTTCCTTTTGGGAAGGGCTGCGTCTGCCAGTTGTCAGGCTCAGCCTGTAGGATCTCAAATGGGTTCCCTGCTGCTCTCCCTCCCAGTGCAAATGCCTTTGTCTATGAACAGATTTTACTTGCTGTATCAGACCCGTGTTGCTTAACGTTTAGGAAGCTCAGGGGTGTCCAAGTTGAAAGAGCCCTCTTGAGATACAAGATGCCAGGAGCAAAAGAGAAGAAATGGAGAGAAGGTTTGTGTAGGAGGGAGAGCAAATCATTAGTTTTTTTCTTTGTTCCCATCGGGCAGCTTTAAATATAAACATTTTGGAACTGTTTCCTAAGTGAAATCTGCCATACAGAATGACAGAAGGGGGAATTTGTAAGATATCTCAGAAATTGCTTTTATGGAAGGATTGCCATGCGGAAGGATTGTCGTGCGTTGACCTGCAGGCAGGTCTCCTCAGGCAGGTGTGGTCCAGGGGCTAGGGTGGATGTGGATGAGATGGTGACATGCAGAGGCTCTCCCCCTTCCTGCTCGGAGAAGTGGATCTGTCATTACAGAGCTCTTTCCTCCTGGCTGCAGGCATGCTTCCCTCTAGCTAAACACCAGCTGCTCTTGTTGGAGGACCACCACAGTGGGTGTAGTCCTGACCCTCGGACACAAGCTCAGCTCCTCTGCTGACATTTCACTGAAGCTGGTTTACCTTCTGTCCTGGTTTTGGCTGGGATAGAGCTAATTTTCTTCCTAGTAGCTGGCATAGTGCTGGGTTTTGGATTTAGGATTAGAAGAATGTTGATAACACGCTGATGGTTTAGTTGTTGCTAAGTACTGCTTATGCCAGTCAAGGACTCTTCAGCTTCCCATGCTCTGCCAGGTACACAAGAAACTGGGAGGGGGCACAGCCAGAACAGTTGATCCAACTGCCCAAAGGGCTATTCCATACCATATGGCGCCATGCTCAGTATAGAAACTGGGGGAGGAGGGGTTGGCTGGAGGGAGCGATCGCTGCTCGGGAACTGGCTGGGTATCGGTCGGCAGGTGGTGAGCAATTGCATTGTGCATCACTTGCTTTGTATATTATCATTACAATTATTATTATATTGTTATTACTACTACTACTACTATTTTACTTTATTTCCATTATTAAACTGTTCTTATCTCAACCCAGGAGTTTTTCTCACTCTTACTCTTCCAATTCTCTTCCCCCATCCCATCGGAGTAAGGGGAGCGAGAGAGCAGCTGTGTGGTAGTTGCCGGCTGGGGCTAAACCACGACACCTTCTCATTTTGCTGTAGGCCATAGATGTCCACCAGCAAGAAGTGGCCATCGCTGCGTGGCAGACAACGCCAACTTGTATGTGTTTGGAGGCTACAATCCTGACTATGATGAGTCTGGTGGGCCAGAGAATGAAGACTACCCGCTCTTCAGAGAACTCTGGCGGTACAACTTTGCTACAGACACCTGGCATCAAATGGGCACTGAAGGCTACATGCCCAGGGAACTAGCTTCCATGTCACGTACGTATGGAAATTCAATTCCTATGGGCCTACTGCTGAAGCTATTTTAATCAGTGTCCTTGGTGGAATGCAAAACCAGGCAAGAACTGGGAAATCTGGATCCTGTTTCCAACTCTTCTGCAAGTGGGCCTTCAGTTTGGGTTGGTTTTGTGATTTTTCTTTCCCCTTTTGCTCAGGTTGAGGCAGAGGGAAAGAAAAAATTTCAAATGCAAGAGGTAGTCTTCAGGTCCTTAGCTTGATAGTTGCAAGGCACTTGTGCTTTCAGCAGCTAGGTGCTCAGTGCAATCAGACATCTCAAAGCATCCAAAAATAGATCTCTTTGTTCACTAGCCATTTTTAAAAGTAGGCCTTTGGTTACCATGGTTTTAGCTTGCATTCTTCCTCCTCTAGAGCATTTCAAAGCCATAAATGCGTAGTGTGAATTGTAGGGTATTTGAACAATATTGAACACTCGCTGCTTACTGTCTCCAGAGCAGAGAGTCGTTCTGTTTTACTGCGTCTCACAGCAACAAGTGTCTCTGCTCTGTCTCTCTCTCCTAGTTGTATTGCATGGTAACAACCTGCTTGTGTTTGGGGGCACTGGGATCCCCTTTGGGGAGAACAATGGCAACGACGTCCACGTCTGCAACGTCAAGTACAAAAGATGGGCTATGCTCAGTTGCCGAGGAAAGAAACCCAATCGAATCTATGGCCAGGTATGAAGGACAGCCCTTGTTGAGGCACTTTGAGTGTGCCTGCGTACGCTGCTCTGTGTGTCACAGAAAAGGGGTCAGAGCACGGAGATCTCTTCTCTGCTAGTAACCGAGTTGTTCTCTGTGTACGTAAGTGTAAGGAAAGACATAAAGAAATAGAGCGGTCTTGGTTCTTTGAGATTTCAAAGGAAAGGAATAGTTTTTTTGCAGTTAGAAAAGTCAAAATTTATTAACTAAATGCCTGATGCAGTTGAATAAAAAAGTATGTCTGATTTAAGGAGTGGTTGGTAGTTTCCAGAGTTGCTCTGTAGCCTCAAAGCCTTTGAAACCCAAAACTATAAATGAAAGAAAACAGTGGTTAGTAGGTCTTGTTTGTATTAGAATAACAACTTTTAAGACTTTCCATAATGTGGATGAACATGGTGTACAAAACCACTCACAAACTTACAAATTCACTTTCGCAGGAGGACTGCCACCTTTTGCTGTGCTTTCCACTAATACTGCCGAGATACTTGTGGTGCAGACATTTATAACCCAACTAATTTCTCATTTAGATGTGCACCAGACACTTGGGGGAAGGAAAGTAGTCTTCCCCTTGCCCAGTTCAGCTCGAGCTGGCCTTTGGCAAATGGGCAGCTGGGAGCAGAAGGAGCTTATATTTCTGCTTTCACCTTGGACTGCATCAGGGAATGGTGCCTGCACCACCTTCACAGTTTCACTAGGCTGACAGTCCACGTGCTTTTGAATTGTACAGGCTGTGTCTGGTGTGTAGTCTGACTTCTCCACTGTGTTTGGGGCTTTCTCTGTTAAGCTTAATGCTGCTGGCTATCTGATAGCTGGTTTGTAAGATTCTCTGTGACAGTATCTGCATAGGGTCAGCGTGGAAGAGATTCAGGGTTAACTGTGCTTTGGTTTTAGCTCCTGGGAGCCCCTGCTGCACAGATTTGTCTTGTCTGATGCCTGAAACTCAGCAGCTCCACTTCTTGTGTGTGGAGGTCCTCATCTTGTGACCGTGGAGTTACTTTCCATTCCTACAGACACCCCCTTGCCCCTATCTTTTGTGTGTCATCCTTGTTTGCCCTTCATGTTCCTCCCAAACATGTAATTTTCTAAGTTGTAGGTAGGGCGTTGCAAGCGGTCTCTTGCTTTGGGAGGGTGGGAATTCTCTCTTTTTCAGACACTGATGTCATGTGTCCTTTCTAACTGGTTTCTCTCTGTTACCTTCCAGGCCATGGCCATCATCAATGGTTGTCTCTACGTGTTCGGAGGAACAACTGGTTATGTTTACAGCACTGACCTACATAAACTAGACCTCAACACTAGAGAGTGGATCCAGCTGAAACCAAACAGTATGTCCTGTGACATGCCAGAGGAGAGGTGAGAAGCTGGACAGTCTCAGAGGGCTTTTACACAGGGGAGTCACCACCTTTATGGACAGGCTTCTGGACACTCTTAGAGCAGTGTTTTCGGCTGTGAACTTTGCACAACTGGTGCTTCAGCAGTCTGGTGTGCAGGGGGAGGTAGGGATGGGGTGTGAAGCCTTTGCCAGGACACTGATCTAGACTGTGGTGCCAGAACAGAGCTGGGGACTTGGGGCAGCTGGTGAGCGCTGAGGAAGGGAAGAAACTTCGGTTGATCCCTGTCCCTTGTCCTATTCTATAGCAAGGCATGGAGGAAGGAGGGCTGGGAGACTGATCAGTGACCATCTTAGTGAGAGAAAGGGCTGGAATATTGATGGCCGTCATGGTGCTCCATAAATCATTGCACTTAAGTTCTGTGGTGCTCTGCTCTCAGAAAATGCCTTTCAAGCTTCTGGGGTGCTGCTTAGATTGCTCATGAAAGCTTCCACATCTTCTGAACGCTCCCAACCTGAGGGACTGATACAACATAGCTGGGCTTGGGTGTTTGCTTAAAGCACTCAAATTTGCTAGTGTTTTCTAGAAGGCTTTTGTTGTTGCTCACTTGCACTAATTGCTTGTGCACCTTCAGGTACAGACATGAAATCGCACATGATGGTCAACGGATTTATGTCTTGGGAGGTGGAACTTCCTGGACAGCTTATTCCTTAGATAAGGTAAGGCCATCAGAAACCTGGATTGCTTGCCCGGGTAGGAGACTTTCTACAGTGAAGTATGACCAGCAGGGTCTCTTCATCTGGCTTTGCCTGGAGAGCTTGGTAAAAAAACAGATAACTAGGAGCAGATTGTTCTCCTACTTCTGTAAAACCTGGTGTTCCCACAAAGATGTTCTGTTGACTTACAGATGATGAATCTGTGGTACCCAGTGACCATACCATGCAAAACAGCTTCATTTTTGTAGACCTGTTATCAAAGATTCTTATTTTAAAACACCTGGGACATCTTTCTAAATGTTGTAGTTGTGCCAAAACAGGAAAGTGCCAAAGGAAGGAATTCCTTGATGTTAAATTCAGCTATTGGTATGGTGACTCTTTTCTTGACTTCTCCCTTAATCCCCTCCCTTTAATTGCCTTTCTTGTGGTAAACGTTTTTCTCCAATACAATTTGGGGAGGGAAGAGTGAACTAATCTTGAACGCTGAAATGATAAATGAGGAAACTTCAAATAGTGCTCTGCTTCCAAAAAAGCTGAAACTGCAGCAGTTAACATGACTTTTTATCTCTCCATTCTCTGCATTTCTTTCCTCCTTACGTGCAGTATGAGATAGGTATTTCTAAATACTTTTGAGAACTGGAGGGTGTGGGTTTTAATTGGTCCAGTTTTTTTAAAAGCAGTATTCTTTTTCTTCAGCTGTGGGGCTTAAATAGCAAAGCCTAAGATGAAAGCTTTAGTAAGCTGCTCCACTTTGAAGGTGATTTTATACCTGCTTAGTCACTGGCTGTGATTAGCTATTTTTGTTTTTACACTTAATGAAGAAGAGGTGTTATTTATAGTGGCTCCCTGGGTCAGAACATGTAACTGCGTCACTGTAGTGCTGGGAGAGCCAGGAGGAACTAACAGCTCCTCTTTGTCACTTCAGATCCATGCGTACAACCTTGAAACCAACACCTGGGAGGAAATTGCCACAAAACCTCATGAAAAAGTTGGTGAGTCTGGAACTTCATGTGTCGTCTTCCCCTGTAAACCAGAGAGTGGCCAAGATGCTCGAAGATGCTGTTTGCTGGCAGGCCGAAAGCCTTTTTTGTAACCTTGTACAGTATGTGACTTAACACTGGCTTCAGGACCCTGCTTGTTTAGAGCTTTAGCAGTGAGGACTAACCCATCTGAAGCACGTTTAGCGGTCTGGCTTCTCTCCCTCCCTGGGTGGGAAAGATGATAGTGGCTGGCTCTCCTCCCAGAAGATGACACACGTCATCTTTGCTCCCTCTGAGGGACCACATGCTGGCCTGGTTAGCAGTGGGGGTTTCCCTGAAACCTTGTAGGCTCTTGGCTGCTGCTTTTCACCAAGCCAGAGGTGAGAGCTGGAGTCTGTGGGGAATGAGATTCTGGCACGTTTCTTCCTTCCCTGAAGAGCAAGTAGGAGTCTGTCGTGGTTTAACCCCAGCCAGCAGCTAAGCACCACGCAGCTGCTCACTCGCTCCCCCTACCCCGATGGGATCGGGCAGAGAATCAGAAGAGTAAGAGTAAGAAAAACTCCTGGGTTGAGATAAGAACAGTTTAATAACGGAAATAAAGTAAAATGGTAGTAGTAGCAGTAATAATAACAATATAATAATAATATACGAAACAAGTGATGCACAATGCAATTGCTCACCACCCGTCGAGCAATGCCCAGCCAGTTCCCAGCAGCGATCACTGCCCCCTGGCCAACTCCCCCCAGTTTCTATACTGAGCATGACGCCATATGGTATGGAATAGCCCTTTGGTCAGTTTGGATCAACTATTCTGGCTGTGTCCCCTCCCAGTTTCTTGTGCACCTGGCAGAACATGGGAAGCTGAAAAGTCCTTGACTTTTAGTCAGGAGTACTTAGCAGTACTTAGCAACAACTAAACCATCAGTGTGTTATCAGCATTATTCTCATCCTAAATCCAAAACCCAGCACTGTGCCAGCTACTAGGAAGAAAATTAATTCTATCCCAGCCAAAACCAGGACAGAGTCAAACCTGAAACAGCCGGTAGCTAAATTAGAGATGTTATACCTGTGACTGTAGGAAAGCAGAAGCCCCTTATAAATGAAACAAGTGACTCCTATGCATGGTTATACGTTGAGATATAATCACCACTTGCCCAAGCACTTTAAAGCAACTATAGTTGATACTTTTTTTTATTCTCCTCAGGCTTCCCAGCAGCCAGAAGATGCCATAGCTGCGTTCAGATAAAAAATGGTAAGATCTGCCTCTTGAAAATTGGTGTATCTTATACAACAATCTTATACAGCAGTGACAAGCCCATCCTTCTAGCCTGAGAGATGCTGGCCTCTGGCACATGTTTAAGAGAACTGCAGGGCACACGTGTCTTTTCTGGAAGAGGATTTCTTTCTTGTTAACAGGCTGTAAGCTGCACAGTTGGCACCACTCTTCGTATGAGGGATCTTGCTGCTGTAGGCAAATTTACTTCTGTGCTGTGCAGTACTGTTGCTCTCTGGAACTCTGCAGCATTTTAGGCAACATGTAAATCTCCTTTGGATGTGTGGCCACTTCAATGTGAGATATCACATATTTTAGCCACAAGTGTCCATGATACTTTGCAACTTATTGGTTGCAAGCTCACAAACAGGTATAAATGATGCTCCTGCTACAGCTCAGTGCCTAACCTGTTAGCTTTACAGTCCACTGTGAAAAGCCAAGTGAGGCTAAGTGCTGGAAGCTGCTGTGAAAAGCAAAGTGGGGCCAAGTGTTGGAAGCCGCCTTCTTTAGAGACAAGATTGTTCAGGGATTTCTTTGATAGTGGGTCCTTTTCATGGTGTTGTAAATCCAGGATGCTCATATGGAGTGGATTATGAGGCAGTAGTAGAGTTAGCACCTGAGTCTTTCTATTCTCTAGTAAAGTGAGGGCCATTTTCATCGAGTCATAGAATCATAGAATGGTTTGGGTTGGAAGGGACCTTAAAGATGACCTAGTTCCAACCCCCCTGCCATGGGCAGGGACATCTTCTACTAGACCGGGTTGCTCAAAGCCCCATCCAACCTGGCCTTGAACATTTCCAGGGATGGGGCATCCACAACTTCTTTGGGCAACCTGCTCCAGTGTCTCACCACCCTCATGGTGAAGAATTTCTTCCTTATATCTAACCTAATCTCCCCTCTTTTAGTTTAAAGCCATTACCCCTTGTCCTATCACTACATGCCCTTGTAAAAAGTCCCTCTCCAGCTTTCTTGTAGGCCCCCTTCACATACTGGAAGGCTGCTATAAGGTCTTCCCAGGGCCTTCTCTTCTCCAGCCTGAACAACCCCAGCTCTCTCAACCTGTTCTCATAGGAGAGGTGCTCTCTGTGGCCCTCCTTTGGACTCACTCCAACAGGTTTTATATGTTAAGAGCTGCACGGAGCTTAGTAGAGCCTTTTGTTCTTCACTTTGATCCTCCAAATGTTCTTGCTGTAAACCACTTGTGCGGTGCCGTTTGAGGCACAGCTTAGAGGGGGCTTTGCATGTGCAATCTGTGTTCAATTACCCACAATTTTGGACGATAGAGTGTTTCTTCAACTAGATTTGGGCCTCTCCTGTAGCCTCGTCCTCCACGAATGCATTTCCCTGAACTTGATAAAAAATGAATTGCTCATAATGGGCTGAAGAAGCAGCTACAATATTGATCCTTCTTTTTGAAAGTCTTCAGATCAATTACTGAGTGCTGCATGTTAAAGGGTGGAGTGATACACCACATTATATTTCTTAGGAGTGCTAATTGTGCCAATAAAAGTAAGGTGGGAGCTGGGACCAGTCACCTTCATCGGCAGTATTTTGCTGCAGTGCAAGCCTCTGAGTTGAGAACTTGGGCAAAGCTGGGTGTGAGGACCTGCCTCTGGCAGGCAGCAGGAGTGGGAGGTGGGGCTGTGGCTGCTCCCCATGGGTTTAAAACCGCTAAAATCTGATCAAATCCAGGTGCCTGTGAACTTGCTACCTAGAATTTAAAATAACTCCCAAAACACACAAAGTATGTCTGGAGAAGAGACATTGCTTTATTCTGCACAGGGTGCAAGGTGGAGTATTTCCACAAATCAAGCACCCCTACTGAAGTTCATTTTGACATTTATACATGACAGTTAACACACCACACCTATTTAATACATAATCATTGAACTGACTGAGCATCCTCTTCTTCCATTGCTCTGTATCTTTTCCGCTTAATTTTAAAGCTACAGTGTGATTTCAATTCACTGCACATGCTCAAAAGGAATGTTGGAGGGGGTAGTCCTTTTGTCCCTCAATTGAGTCCGTGGTTGCAATCTCCCCCCTGCCGGAATTACCTTTCCCCCAGTTACCATGCTTCAGCAATTGCCCAATTTCTCAGCATCTTCTGGGGCAAGATGTTCCCTTTTATCACTGCTGACCTCTCATTTGTGCCCTTCCCTTATCTTTACAACCTTCTTTGTAGCAGGATGTTCCCATTGTCAGTCCTTGAAGTTCTACAGATTTGCATTCTTTGAGGAGGTACTCGTCAGTGAGGCATGCGTTGCTAATACCCTCTTATCTGGCCTACGCATTATTTACTACCTTGATTATTCTAAAATTTTCATGTGTTAGTTACCACTCCTAACTGTGATCCTTTCTTAACTACTACTAACTCCTGCACTATTTCTATTTCATCCAAGAAAAATATATACGTTTAAGGTAACAATTCCTCCCTTTGGAAGTTTCAGATATTTCATTTCAGACTTCCATAATCTTTGATCATCATTATGCTCGTGACAGAGTCCGCATAATTGCTTGTTTCATGCATCCAGACAAAATACAGGCAATTACAATTGTAATTGTAATATAGACAGAGACTTGTAGTAAACTTTGAAGCCGCCCAGTAAGGGAGAATCCAAATCCATGTAACGTTTCATTCAGCCATCCCATTTCCATTGTAGCTCTCAAGTCACGACTTGATTTTGCTACTTTTTTTATCTTGTCTTCGTTAATCATCAATTCAAAAGTTAGATTTAAGTCTATGTTTAGAATTCCCCAGTTCAGGGGCCTCAAGGCCAATTTTGGTAATGGGAGGCATACTGCTACTGTTATGGATTCTTCCGAATGACTGGATAAGTTGCAAGACTAGATTTCCATAACAGTATTACACTTAACAGCTTTCATTTTGTCTAAGATTAATAAACAACTTGGTTAAATATTAATGAGCTACTTGTCAATGTATACTGTTCCTATGGACATTGTAATTCCTTTTATGTTAAAATCTTGGTTTCCATATTATCATCAGAATCATAACTAAAATTATTTCTATTACAAACCACACTATACCCTGTATACAATCAAAATCTATGTATGATGCTTTCTGATCCCCAGTACAGTTCATGAATTAACTTTTAAAATTTCAAATGCAAAGAGTTTTCCTTCTGTTTTTCCCACAATCCACTTACCTGAGGGAAGTCCCTTTTTGATATGAGTGTAATGGATTCAGGGTCCTACTCCATCAAGCTTGACTGCAATATATGTGGTCAGGAGGACTTGAAAGGGTCCTTTCCCATATTCCATCAGGGGTTCGTTGTTCCAGGTTCTGAAATAGACCCAATCTCCTAGCTGAAATTCGTGGACTGTAGTGTCTAGGCCCAAAGGTGTTCTTAATTCTAGGTAACTATTAAGAGAAGGCAGAACCTTCCCTAGAAAAATGACATACTCTTTAAGGTATTGTTTCCCTATTAATTCTGTAGATCCTGGCTCATGATTTATACGTGGATAAGGTTTTCCATATAATATCTCGAAAGGGCTGACCTTTTCTTTGGACTTTGCTGTAATTCTTGCTCTCAGTAATGCTAATGGCAGAGCATCTGGCCATTTGAACTGAGTTTCCTGACAAATTTTGTTCAACTGCCTTTTAATTGTTTGATTCATTCTTTCTGCTTTCCCACTACGCTGCAGCCTCCATGGAGTATGTAAATCCCACCTTATTTGTGATAATCTTGACACTTCTTGAACTATCTCTGTAATGAAATGAGGTCCTCTATCTGAAGAGAACCCTTCTGGTACCCCAAATCTTGGTATAATTTCTTTTAACAAAATCTTTACTGCCTCTCTTGCTTTATTGGTGCAACATGGGAAAGTTTCGAGCCATCCTGAAAAAGTATCGACAATTACCAACAAATATCTATATCCATTACAATTACGTAATTTGGAAAAATCAATTTGCTAGTATTCCCCAGGCATAAAACCTCTTTTCACCTCTCTGGGAGAGGGGTCTCCTTTGGATCTTAGGATTATTTTTGACACAAATTTCACATTGTTGTGTAATGCTTTTAGCAATTGGCATCATACTGATTCCTACAGCGTATCTCTTTACTGCTTCAATTAAAGCTTCAGTTCCCATATGCGTACTCTTATGGGTTCACTCCATTAACTCCATTATTTGTGGAGTTACAACACATTGTCCAGTTGGGATTACCCACCATCCATCAGTAGTCTTTAGGCATTTCAATAATTCAGCCAACTTTTTTCTTTTTCTGTATAATTAGGGGTGTCGATTTTGAAAGTTCTTTCTGGGACTAAGGCTGCTATGGTTGTTGACAGCAACAGGCTGATAGTTGTCTCTTTACATTCTTCAACTGTGTCTGCCCCCAGTAAGATGTCATCTACCTATTGTAACAAGGTAGTGGTGGTCTCCTTACCTTGCCATGGCTCCAGTTCTTTTGCTAGTACATTACCAAAGATTGTGGGGCTGTTCTTGAATCTTTGGGGAAGCACTGTCCAGCACAACTGCATTTTGCGTCCTGTTGTAGGGCTTTCCATTAGAAGGCAAACAGCTTCTGGCTTTGTTCTTCCAATGGAATGCAAAAGAAGGCATTCTTTAAGTCCAATACTGTAAAATAGTTGTTTGAATCAACTATTGTTAAAAGTATAAGGATTGGGTACCACTGGATGTATGTCAGTCACTATCTGATTAATAGCTCTTAGATCTTGTACTAAATGGTATTCCTGTGAATGTGGCTTTTTAATCAGCAAAATCAGGGTATTATATTCCAATTGGCATTATCGTAACAGTCCATATTTTAGAAACTTATTAATCATAGGCTCCAGTCCAACACAGGCCTCCATTTTTATTGGGTATTGTTTTCATCTTACTGGCTTTGCTCCTGGTTTCAATTCCACTCTCACTGGTTTTGCTGATTTAGCTCTTCCAGGTTTCTTGGTTGCCCAGATAAAAGGGATTACTGCATTCATGATTTCAGAGGAGGCTTCAATTTGCTTCTCCTTATTTCCAGCACCTTGTGCCTCTGGAAATTCCTGTAACGTATACACTTGTGCTTCCCAAGCATTATTTTGCAGAATACGTACTCAAACTTTGTTGCGATCAAAGCTTATTTGTGCTCCCAATTTATTTAATAAATCCCTTCCCATCAGAGGTAACGGACATTCTGGCATATACAAAAATGCATATGTAAGTATTCCCAATTTCACACTTAATCGGTTGAAAGAAAGGTCTGACCTCTCGTTTTCCCATGGCACCAGTCACTGATGTAGAGAATTTGCTTATGGGCCCTTTACAGCTATTTAGTACAGAATACATTGCCCCTGTATCAACTAGGAATTTAACTGTCTCATTCCCCAGCTTGACTGAAACCAGGGGTTTGGCTGGGGAATCTAATTTCTCAACCCCCAGTCCCTATCAATCTGAATCTTCCATGCCAATCATAAGTATAAGTCTGCCTCCAGAATGGGTGCAGACAGGGATGTCCATTTCTTTGGGCATTTGTTCTTCCAGTGTCCCTTTTCCTTGCAAATCACGCACTGATCTCTTCCCAAAGGGACTCTATTTCCTATATTTCTTCTTGTTCCTTGCCCCTTTTCATGCCCACAACCTCTTGGGAAACCTCTTCCCCAAGAGGAAATTTGTGCTTGAGCAAAAGCAGCTGCTGAAATTGCAGCATCTTGCTTTCTATCCTTCAATTTCTCTTTCTGCTTTTCCTTCCTTTCCAATCCTTCCCTATTATTCTATACCTTATATGCAATTCCTATTAACTGAGATACTGATGTTCCAGGCGTGCCATCTACCTTTTGCAACTTTCTCCTTATGTCCGGTGCTGACTGCCCCACAAAGTAGTAAAAGTCATTCTGTTAGCCTCATCCTCAGGATCCAAATCCATCCACTTCCAGGCTGTTTCACACAGTCTCTTATAAAAGACAGAGGGGTCCTCATCTTTACCTTGCACCACCTGATACAGTTTTGCAAGGTTTTTAGGTCTAGTTACCCCATGCTTTATTCCGTATAATATCAAAGGCTGATATTGTTTATTCATTAATCTGCCCGCCCCTGTATGTGGATCACGGTCCAGCTCTTGTGCTGGCATAAAACAATCTGGACCATCCCTTGCATTTAGTCTCTCATTTTCCTCCCGAACTTTTTCCAGCACGGTTCTCTTTTTTCCTTAGGCAGAAATAAAGTGTTTAGCAACACCTATGCATCTTTCCAATCTGGGTCATAATTCTCAATTATCATTTTAAAGGACCCATATATTTTCTCTGGATTTTCCTGATATATGACCCAGCAGACTCCTTCCAACTCATTCTGCCCGCTATGAGGCTAAATTCTTCACTACCCCTTCTCATACCAACAACAACATCCTGATCCCTATCTGGGGAAACCAGCAATTGCACATCTCTCTTCTGTTTTCAAACATTTTTCCCAATACTACAAGCAGAATAACACTGAGGCAATTTCTTTCTATCCTCCATCCTCATCAATACATTCAAATCAGATATCAACAGTTTACATTTCTTCCTTGTTTCATGATCATTTCTTAAAGTAAAGAACAAATCCACATATGGGATTTCATCCCATTTATCCTGCCTTCTGCAAAACAACGTAAGTTGCAAAATTGTATTATAATTCAAAGATCCTATTTCTGGCCATTTTTCTTGATCTTCTGATATATCCACCGGCCACCGTTGATTACAATAATCTATTAGCTTTTCCCATATTAACAGATCACCTCCAACCTTACTCCAATGTTTTAACATATAATCCAACGGGGAAGCCTTAATTATTCCCCCTTCTTCAGAAGTCAAATTTCCCATCTGTAAATATTTTACAATGTATCACCGTACAACAATATTCTCTAAAATCACCAATAATATTACCAATATATCACAATACAACAATTTAAATAACCAATTGTACCAAAATACAAGTGCACTGTACCAAACCCAACTCTACCTGCTCCAGTCATCACCATAGTAGCTCAGGAGAAACCAAAATACCAAAACCAACTCTACTTGCTCCAGTCGTCACTGTAGTAACGCAAGAGAAACCAAAATACCAAAACCAACTCTACCTGCTCCAGTTGTCACTGTACTAATGCAGGAGAGACCAAAATACCAAAATGTGGCAGCTGCAATTAATTCACCAACTTGTACTTTAAATGGATACACTTAATACATCAAAATAGTAATGTCTCTATCCTGGTATCAATCGGCCATTCACCACGCACCAGGGAATTGCAGGGGGAATCCCTGGAAAAAGTCATCCGGTGTGTGCTGGAGTTTGACTCACGATCCCTCCAGCAGTAGCAAATGTCGATTGAAGTCCGGTCTCAAAATCCAAGTCCCATCTGGGTCGCCAAAACTGTTACCCATAATTTAAATTAACTCCCGAAACACATGAAGTATGCTTAGAGAGGAGACATTGCTTTATTCTGCACAGGGTGCAAGGTGGAGTATTTCCACAAATCAAGCACCCCTACTGAAGTTCATTTTGACATTTATACGTGACAGTTAACACACCATGCCTGTCTAATACATAATCATTGAACTGACTGAGCATCCTCTTCTTCCATTGCTCTGTATCTTTTCTGCTTAATTTTAAAGCTACAATGTGATTTTAATTTGTATCACAGTTAGGAGTGGTAACTAACACATGAAAATTTTAGAATAATCAAGGTAGTAAATAATGCGTAGGCCAGATAAGAGGGTATTAGCAACGCATGCCTCACTGACGAGTACCTCCTCAAAGAATACAAATCTGTAGAACTTCAAGGACTGACAGTGGGAACATCCTGCTACAAAGAAGGTTGTAAAGATAAGGGAAAGGCACAAATGTGACATCAGCAGTGATAAAAGGGAACACAACAACGAGAGGATATGGGTTCAAGTTGCGCCGGGGAGATTTAGATTGGATATTGGGAAAAATTTCTTCACAGAAGGGGTAGTCAAGCATTGGAACAGGCTGCCCAGAGAGGTGGGGGAGTCCCCATCCCTGGAAGTGTTCAAAAAACGGGTAGATGTGGCACTTTGGGACATGGTTTAGTGGGCATGGTGGTGTTGGGTTGATGGTTGGACTGATGATCTTAAGAGATCCTTTCCAACCTTAATGATTCCTAGTTTCTACTTTCATTAAAAATAATCCAGCCACCAAGCCAGGAAACACAAAATTGCTACTCTACCCTTAACTGGTTTAGTGGTGGACTTGGCAGTGTTGGGTTAATGGTTGGACTGGACGATCTTAAAGGTCTTTTCCAACCTCAACGATTCGATGATTCTATGATCTTGCCCCAGAAGATGCTGAGAAATTGGACAATTGCTGAGGCATGGTAACTGGGGGAAAGGTAATTCCGGCAGGGGGGAGATTGCAACCACGGACTCAATTGAGGGACGAAAGGACTACCCCGTCAACATTCCTTTTGAGCATGTGCAGTGAATTGAAATCACACTGTAGCTTTAAAATTAAGCAGAAAAGATACAGAGCAATGGAAGAAGAGGATGCTCAGTCAGTTCAATGATTATGTATTAGACAGGCATGGTGTGTTAACTGTCATGTATAAATGTCAAAATGAACTTCAGTAGGGGTGCTTGATTTGTGGAAATATTCCACCTTGCACCCTGTGCAGAATAAAGCAATGCCTGCTTCTTAATACAGAAAGAAACCATTAAGGAGTTTTATTCCCCGATTTCGGTGACAGGAGGGTCCTCCTTATCCCCTGCATCCACGATCCTTCTGTGAACCATTCTAACTCGAGTGTAACTGGATTTTCCTTTGTGCACTTCTTCCATGCAAGTAATAGAGTGAACCTTACCATTCTCAAGTTTTTAAATAAGTTGCTGCTAACCAAAGCCGCGTAAAAAATCATATTCGCGATAAATCGGTGTAGTCGGCAGGATCCACAAATCTGTATTCATGACAAAGATGTCCCTGCCCGTGGCAGGAGGGTTGGACTTAGATGGTCTTTAAAGGCCTCTTCCAACCCAGACCATTCTGTGATTCTGTAAGTAGCCTCCGTGGGTATGGACAGTGTGCTGGCACTGATTTGGGAGGTCCTGAGAGCTTGAGGTAAAATAATTGTTGATCCTAAAACTGTTTTGGAAAGGTGATTGCTGACTTCAGTCACCGCACGTTCCGCAGCTGCTGATGAAGGATGGCTGGGCCTGTAAGCACCGTGGGTTTCCTCTCTTACAGATGTGTTCGTTTGTGGAGGCTATAACGGAGAAGTGATTCTGGGAGATGTTTGGAAGCTGAATCTGCAAACTTTCCAGTGGGTCAAGCTCCCAGCTGCCATGCCGGAACCAGTGTATTTTCACTGTGCTGCTGTCACACCAGTAAGTGACTCATTTCTTTCCTGTGTAGCTGAAGTTCAAGCTGTTCATCCAAGCACTCTGACGTTTGCGTGGGCTGCAAACAGAGCTGAACCGATGTTACCAAGGAGGTGATCTCCACTGGATGCAGCATCTTTAGGGAGGCAGAGGGCCAGTGTGAGGTCACTGCATTGACTCCTCTTAACTCCTGCTGCTGTTTGAAGAGCGGAACAGTATATTCTGCTTTTTAAAAGCAGTGATGCAGAATTTTAGCTTTTAAACTGTATCAGCTCCAAGGAGTAATTTCATGTGTGAACAGCAGTTCCTGTTTGCAAAAGGGGAAAAAAAAAAAAAAAAAAAAGCACAAATAACCTCTCCAAGTAAACTGGTTTTAGCCTACTGAGAACAGCCTGAGTTGAAAGATTAGCAGGTGAGCAGCCCTCTTTGGGAACCACTGCTGATGGGAAGGTTGGTATTGCTAGAGCTTTTTGCTGTAACTAGAAGCTTAGAGACACCTGGTTGATAAGCAGCAGGCAGCAAGAAATGCATTTAGGTGTGGCTTCAGCCTCCTTCAGCTGATCATTGCCTCGGGGCAGCATAGGAGGGCAGAGATTGGGTTCTTTGGTTATAAGAACAGGTGCCACCTAGTTTGGAGATGGTTATAAATGCAACTCTTTCTGGGAAGCTGTAGGCCTGATAAAGGTGTTTCCCAGGCAGCTCGGTGACTGCAGGTGGGTGCCTGGACAGAAGGAA